GACCAGCATCAGTCCGAAAAGCAGCACTAATGTGTGGTGGTCATATCAAACCAAGATAGCCGACCGCCAAGTCAAAGACAGATTACAGTCAACCAATGGGAAAGCAGGAAACAGTCAAAACTATTCGAATAGATTTTGACAAATGACAACGGTCGATAGTAGCAATGAAACAATTAAACACAAACAGGATGTCACGCCTACCAAATATGCAGTATGAGTTTGGCAGCGGTCAGTGAAGTTCGCTTCACTGTATTACGCTGTACAATGGTGATGACGATGATGATAACAGTGAACGCTTGCGGTTCCAAGGTTCGAGCGGGACCGAAACACCTTCGACTTAGATACAACGTTTCACTGAAGTGGGATGGTCTTGTGTATTGTGCTACCGTTCATTCAGTTCTGCCTTATGGTTGAGACCTTGAATTTGCGCGAAAGTATCCATCGCCTAGAAGTTTTCGACTATTGGTGTTTACATATTTTAACCCACGTAGGCTGGAACGAAGAGGTTGGTAATCTGGAGATAAACCGTCGTGTGTTTGGATTTTATCAATTTTAATTTATTTCAGCACGCAACAACATATGTACAAAATTCTGTGGAATGTGCACATAGGTTGTGTCGATATGTTACTTCCCGGTTCCCCGGACCGTGGAAGGGGATAACCTCGAGGTCCCCACCCGAGGACTTTTGGCTAGAAAGCCAGACGCGCACGACAACTGGACAGATCTCAGAGCTCACAGTCCAGTTCATTATATCATACGTACTTTGTACGCGGTCAAACATCCAAGGGGCTCAATACAACTTGATGCCCAGTGACAACTAACACAACCAGGACGGGTTGGCTGAATATGGTTTTTCTTGGGTGGCTTGGAATCAGGGTTTTAGCCAACTTCCCTAGATGAACTGCCGATCGTTCACGGATACTCCGATGCTATCATGAAGGGTCGAGTATATGCTATAGTTTGGCTTCTGTTGGTGCATTTGGCAGGGTATTGGCATTTACCGCAACAAGATAAAGATATACTGTCAATGTCTAAACACGACTGCTGTCTGCATTCCATTGTTCAAGTCCAGTGAGGAAACCTGACAACCGATACTGAACATAGGCGCTGACATGTGTAACGCATGTTATCAAACAGATTGCGCAGTGTTTGCCCATGCAGATGTTGGGTGGAAAAGTGAAGGAGGGGGGTATGAAAACCATAATCGGGAAACTTAATCACAGATCTCTTTAGGCCTCCTGGATGGGAACATTGGGATCGACTTCACATATGGTTGGAAGCAACGAGTAATATGACTGAGTTGCGCAAATAGTGGCACTTGTGCATCTACTCAGTGTCCTTAGTCTTCATCAAATATCTATTTCCACCTTGATGCTGCTTTTCAGATTACAACCTTTCTTTTACACCATCCGAATGAGCAACTCAAGGACAGCCACCAATACTGCCGCTCGAAAGCGCATGGTTAATTATGGTTTAGATTGAAACTGTACCGTTATCTAGCCTAGGCCTTAACGTTACGAATATGGTACCGGAAAGGACATGATTGCACGCATAACCAGTGCTTAAGCCGCCTATATGGGACTGAAGTATTCTTGATGTCGCATACACTGTCATTTCTACTCTATTGTTAGAGCCTTGAAGCTACTTATGGGAGACTTTTGAGGGTCACATTTTACAGAGTTTTACGTTTGTGGGATGGGTAGAGCTGTTGAGCAACAGTGAGGCAAGCCAACGTGTTTTCGGACATGCTTGCTGGCTAGTACCTGTATTGCACATGTCCTGCAGTCATCTTCCGCATTGTGCATTCTTTGCAGTTGCCGCTACAGGTTTAAGAAGACCACATGGGTTTTGATTGACGACAGAGAGGCGAGAAATAACAAAATGTAAAGATAGGTTAAGCAATGTAGGTGGTCTTGGAGACATACGTGGAAACATCTTTCTGATACCATCAATGCACAATCGAACTTCGTTTTTGGCTTCGCCATCTGCCAACAGGGTGTATTTGAGATTCCCAAAGCTCTCAAGAGGGGTAATATGTTTACTACTTGGCGGTAACTTTTTCCGAGATAGACTAATTGTCTGGTAAGCTTCGGTTTTTTGGATGGTATTAACGCTTTTTTATTATTATAGATTACATTTGGAAATCCGCCAAGTTCCCGCTGAAAACGACAATGTCATCAGTGATCCAGAAGTTATGAATCTTTTGATGTTCCTTCCGCTGGTAGATTCTTTGTCTAATCGGCTTCAAGGTTGAAAAACACTGGGTCAGTGGCTACCCTTGTTCTGTAGATGTTAAGTCGAACATGGGAAACTTCATCACAATCCCACAGTAGCAAGATCTCATGCGTTTAGCATGTTAGGTAGTAACACCATCGGCCACTACTATGTTCCGCAACAATTGATCATCTACAGAGTTCAACACCGCACAAAAAACCTGCGAAATGGATGCCGATCTTTGCTGAAACTTTTACTATGCTTTAAAAAGCGTATACACTGAATATTTGGTCGAAACAGCCTACATCGAGGACATGTCCTATTGCTCTTAAACGTTTGTGCGAAAGCTATGCAGAAAATCTTAGCTGTTACGCCGAATAAAGTGACACTTCTATATTTGTCACACCTACTTATCACTGTTTATGTAAGGATATCAATAATGATCTGTTGGACAGGTCTCAGTTTCCCGGATAAAGTATAACTAACCGTGTTTTGGTTTTTTAATTACGGGAAGGCACGGCACAGAGTTCTTCAGGTATTTCATCCTCTCGGGTGCCTTTTGCGACTTGAGATGTCAGATGACATGTGCTATTTCTTCCCTAAATGACCATGTGGAGTTGGTTTCGTACGGTCGTAGTAGTAATGAGTTTATTTACGGGAGTTGGACTTGATCAGCATGAATTTCACCGAGATTAACTTTGGTACCTGTTCTCGGCCCATGCGCCACGTTATATTTTGATTTTGTACCGCACGGATAATACAAGCAGTATTAATATTTCCTCAGTCATAGGACATACAATCGCTTTAAAAGCGTAACGCATGTAACACACGAACCTCAGTTCACAATACTGTTTATTTTCATGCATTTTGTGGTACTTATTCAGTTCCTAATTTTTATCAGTAGTGTGTTATTTTCTCTTCATCTGATTTCTTCCTAGCTTCATTTCATCAGCAACCTGGTAACTCGTTGTCCAAAATTGGAGGCATTAAACTTATCACACTGCGTTGCTGTCTGTAACCAATGTGTACGGTTACTATGTGATACACTTACCACCCTGAGACGTCTCAATTTGGATGGTGCATTGTGGTTCACGGATGAGGCTCTACAATATTTGGCTGATTCGTACGCTATGCGCACTGGATGTATGACCTCGCTTTGGTTGGATGGATTCGAGTTGTCGAACTCCGGGNAACTCCGGGATTGGGGACTTCTTACGACGTTTATCCGAGACGAACAAAGAATTGGAAAAATGTCTCAATGTCCGCATTTTGACCCACACCGAGGAGTATCCAAATGACACCGAGAACCCGTTGGGATTGCACGTTTTATGGTTCAGTTTCTGTGATAACTTCACCAATGTTACTGTTAAACCCATTCGGGATCTAACCGGACTTACTGCTCTTACATTGCGTAAAGCCAAAGGAGTCACATCAGATGGCTGGAAAGATCTTTTCGTTCTGGAATCTGGGTCCCCTAACTTGTCGTTACAATGGCTTGAACATGTAGATCTCAGCGAAGCTCCTGACGTGAATGATGCTGTGGTATCTTGTTTATGTAAATGTTGTGGCTCTCGACTTCGGTCGCTTGCACTTAACTGGTGCTGGTGTGTGTCAGATAATGGTCTTGAAACCATTGTTACCGAATGCCCCATGATGCGACACTTGAGCTTGATTGGAAATCACACAATTAATGGCAGGGCCCTGTCGTTTATTCCTACCAGCCAACCCTTGATGAATGTTGTCAACTTAACTCAATGTAATCGAGTGATTGATTCAATTTTGGAGGACTTGGTTCAGCAAATGCCTCACCTTCATGTATTTGACTATTCTGGAGAACCGGTTGGTAACGAACTCAAAGACTTTTGTCATTACGACTTGTGGCGTTCCTTGAGAAAGGTGCCAATATGCGCTGACTAACCCAACCATATGTGATCCGTTGCCTATCCACAATCACTTTGGGGATATTTCCTTCACGATTGGGAAAAATCATGTACATTCCCTGTTTCTTCCAGATTCCCTGTTCGCACACCACGTGGAATATTCTCACCGGTGTTGTCATTATTGTCTTTCTTTTGACTCAGCTCCTCTTCCTTGAGTGCTTTTGTGAGCTTCAGCTTGAAATTCAATCACGTGAGTGTATTTTGTGAGCACCTATTTGTCTGACCGGGGGGCGAATACACACCTATCTCTTACTTCCACAATTCAGATCGTATCTGGCTTCAACTTCTGGGATATTAGGGGACTAGAGACAGGCGCGTGCATTCTGACTGCTGTTTCACATGGTTTCATTTTTGCAATTATAACATCTATTTTGACTGTTTGAGTTGTTTTCTTTGGGGAACGGCATGACCGTTCAATCTTCATTCTGCCTGTGCCGTGTAATCCTATAAGATCAAGTTAAAAAACGTATCACGTCGACATGTAACTGACATTATTGGAAAATTTTTTTTCCAGCTATGGTGATCATCGTTTGTAAAGCTAAATGCCGAAGAATGTTTACTTGCCCTTTGTGATATAGGTGGATAGAGGCCAAGTATTTGAATAAAGAATTCGGGTTGTTTCGTGCGCGAAAAAGAATTCCTTTCTGATGCCCATTGAAGAATTCTCTAACTCAGGTTGCGTATCTGCTGGGATTCAACGGCATCGGCGTCAAGCCCAGTAAATTTTAGCAAGAAGACAGAGACAGCAGAGTAAATTCCACGATCCAGATTTTACCAGTAAACCACAAACCTGATTAGAAATTGACATAACCCGGTTGTAATATTCTGAATCTATCTCTTCTCTTTTCGAGACCGAACATTTGTGAATCTTTGTTGAATTTTACAAAATATTTGCAGTCTCTATGAGCCCCCCAGGTAACACGAGTGTCCCCTTGAACGTACCCCTCCAGTGTCCCTTTTGAAGCACGATGGACACTCGAAAAACTGAGCACCACCGACCGCCACTTATACGTCGCAGTTCCCGAATCTAATTAGACCCAATATATGTCGCATTTTTTCATCTAGCAACCACTAGACGTTTCCGATGTGGCCCATACGTCCCGACCCAAAACGAATCCAAATTTTAACAGTTTCGCAATCGAACGACCCTTTTTATAGTTTGCAGGGAAATAAAACAAGATTTGGAAGTAACGGAAAAATGTGTTCAAAATAAATGTCAACACCACCGACTTCAATCCTCATACGATGGTTCAATGTTTTCTTTGTCCTCATCTGTAATGAAAAGTAGAAACTATCTTAGGCAATGTAATGTAGGTTAATGTAAGTACAGAACGGAATTATATTTTTAAAACGAAGCTCACCTCTGTATGAGTTGCCACCAGGAGAACCTTCCAGTGCGTCCATTTTTTACTTCGGTCTTGATGTTTGCATTCATCTCTGTATTCATGATATCACGGATTGTGATGTATCAGGATAACCTTTTTGTAGCACAGCATCTGTGAAATGTGATCATAATAAGTAACCGAATGTCATTAACTTACTGATGACAAGTTTGCAAACTACTGTGTTCGCCAATGGTCGTTTGCCGTTAGCACCTCACCAGTTTATCTCTACCAAGAGGTTGACCGAGATTAATGCTTTCAGGATAGTCCGGATACAGTCTGCTGCCGAAAAACCTCCGCATTTCAACAGATATTGTAACTGAATTATGAAACCCTTGAAAACTGGTTAATTTACCATGTTCCCATAGGTAGTCAACTTGTTTTCGAGAAATTTATAATTCTCTGTTGATTTGACGGGAACGTCTACCGGAATGGCTTTGCTCATTCCTGCATCGGACATTTGATGGTGGAGAAAGTCCATCATTTTGCCCCACTGGCTTAAACCATCAGTTAACTGTTGGGACATTTTCTTCTGGCATGCTAAAATTGTAAATATATGGAGCACTCTTCTTACCTAAAATTGACTTTAAATTATTGCATAATGTTCCCAGGCAGCACGAGTATACACTGAATGACACCTAACTGTCTCCCCAGAGGCCACTGAATGTCCTCCTGAGTGTAACGCCGATCGACTTAATGCAACATCTGCGGTATGCTCAGGATACGCTCGAAATTATTCTTGTGTACTTTTTGCGTACTTTATTGTCCGCTACAAATTGAAACCAGAAACATTCCCTTAAGGTAATTCTTTTTAAAACTTCATCCTTGTTGTCTCCTAATTACATATAAATCGCTACGTATCAATTTATATGCGTAATACTTGTTCTTTCGAATCGCATCGTCCCAAACGTCCTCTATTGTCACCTAATATCAATTTGAAGCCGTTCCATCTACCAATTAATCGAAAAAACCTGCAAGGCGAACTTGTACATCTAACGTTTTCAACTATCACAGTAAAAGATGCCCAAAAGTCATATAAATAACGCACCATAATGGAAATAATAATTCTTATTTTTCATGAGAATTAAAATTGATCATGATGATACATCTAACGGGTCCGCATCTTCTGAGTCTTCGTTCTCTTTTTCGCCGTCTAAAATAGAAACAGAAAAAGATTTATGACTTAACTTACTTCGATGAGAGATAATTGGTTAAATGGTGGATGTTTGAATTAACTCATTCGGTTTTCCACAGGCACCAGGCAGGGGCAGAAAAATTACGCACTGCTGACGAGTGCTAGACAAAACGAAAAAGCTGTCCAGTGCTCTTTTTAAGCTAACACAAAGATTTCCGTCGCATTTTAGAGATACTTCTTATTTGGAAGACAAAAATACAAACATGTTAGGCGAAGACTCACCAGTATAAGGTGCCGAAAAGGACGTGATCTCCAAGGGTTCATAAACGCCCCTAGGTTTCGTTCTCTGTATCCAACGTTGCATTTTTTAATTATGGAAAGGGTATACGTATCTGGGTATATCCAAAGGATTATAATCGTTCTGCAATTGCCACACATTGTGATATATTTGCCAGCTCTATCGACGACCTTTCTGCGTTGGGCGACTCGCAATCTTCCGATTTGCGGCTAAAATTATATATTAACAGAGAAGTCAGAAACATGGGTTTGCACAATGTATCCATGGTCATCTGTACACGTGCATACTGCAGTCCAAGTGATTTTTATAGTCAGTGAGATAACAGATTTGAGAGAAAAACACAAGATCGCTAATCACAACGGACAACGCAGCGCAAAAACACAAAGGGGGACGAGATAGGGCAGGGGGTCAATCACCAAGGCAAAGCTAATGTGACTAACCATTCACGTTGTTTGCATAGATCGGGTTTGAGAGTGTGAATGGCTAGGGCCCCAGCAAATTTCAGTAATTTTGTTGTGTTGTAGATGACATGGAATACGTGGGGTGGGGTGACACAATGATTTTGTTCGAGTAAATGTTGCGTTATCGAAGATCTAAGCTTTCTCCGATCAATCGATGACGTAACATTTGCAAAATTGTCGTCCATTGCTTTCTTAAGCCACAACGGGATGTGTTCGGCCATTCGGTGACATAACTGCCTCTCTGTTCTGCCTATGTAGACGGCTGAGCATCCACACTTGAATTGGTAAACACAATTTGATTTGGCGGAGGGAGGCAATGGTTCTTTCACCGATCTCGTTGGTATCCGGGTGGTATTGTAGACAATGGCCGGGTCAACTGCGTAATAGACTCGCTTGACAGCAGAGTTCAACCGCTTGCTAACGAGTTCACTCACGTCATCGCCTTTGTATGCTAACATCAAAAACGTTTTCTTTTTCGGGAGAGTTATTGTCTACTTTTGGTGTTACTTTACTATGCTTGGTGGTGAAGGCGTCTGGATATCCGTTTGCTTGTAGTGCTTCTTTTAGGACGCTGTTTTCGTCGCTTAAACAATCCTCTGTGCATATTTCACGAGCTCGATGAAATAGTGTGCGAACGAGCCCAATTTTGTATCTCATAGGGGCGAAGCTCGTGAAATCAGAATTGCCCAGACCACTTGTTCTTTCGGAAGACAGATCCTTTAATTGATCCATCTGGAGGACGAGTAATATTTGTCTAAAAAATCGATGCTATCATTCCGTTCGTCGTGACGACTAAGCTGGATGTTGGGGTGAATTGTGTTGAGCCGATGGAATAAGTTCTCTCCGTCTTCCTTGACGTTGCTTATAACGAAGGTATCATCAACATAGCGGCAGTATTGATCTTGTTTTGAAATATCTTCTTCAAGCCTTCCCTCTAGGTGACCAAGAAAAATGTCTGCAAGAATCGGTCCCAGTGGACTGCCCATGGCGACCCCATCTATTTGTCTATATCCTTTTCCGAGGAACAAAAACTTAACGTTTGACGTGCAAAGGAGTAAAATTCGCGATAGTTCACTGTTAGGCAATCCAATCTTTGACATTACGCCGAGCAATTGACTCTCCCACCGGTACGAGAATTTTGGCTAACTACTTTGCCAATGCATGTTGCGGTGAATTGATCATGCTTAGGATGCGTTGTAACGGAATGCCTTCCTCATGCACTTTCGGTAGGCCATACAATTGTGGTGTCTGTGTTCCCCTCGGACGTAAACATTTCGCCAGTGAATCCTGTAAAAGGTTCGCCTGGGTTACTGCACTGAGAGGTGTCTACAGATCACCAAGCTCTAGACCGAAGGATGATCGAGCTCTACTAAATCTCACTGCCACAGTCAGTAGGGGAAATCACTCGCCGATTATAGTGGGGGATTTCAATCTACCTGGAATAGAATGGGAGTATGAAAACCAAGGAGATGGAAGCGTCCGTGTATCAACGATGGGAGAAAATCCGCGATCAGCTAATAGAGCTGACGGAGAGACATGCCCCCTTGCAGCCTCGGGGTGATACCTACAAACCGCAATGGTGGAAGCCGGCCAAGATGTACCATAGCTATGTGCAACTGAAGACTGCACCAAGCCAATCGGCAGATACTTTAGAGAACCCCGAAGGTGGGCTGTCTGTCTCAGATTATGAAAAATGTCAAA